ACCCTAGGCACTGTCACACTCTAGTGAATGTAGTATCTATATAATAGGAAATGCTTAATGACATTGTAAAATAAATACTACATTCAGGGTAACCCTAGGCACTGTCACACTCTAGTGAATGTAGTATCTATATAATAGGAAATGCTTAATGACATTGTAAAATAAATACTACATTCAGGGTGACCCTAGGCACTGTCACGCTCTAGTGAATGTAGTATCTATATAATAGGAAATGCTTAATGACATTGTTTTTTATGTGAATTTCAGTCTAAGCCAGAGATAAGCAAACAGAAGCCTGAAACGACCACCGAGGATGCCCCCAAGGCGGACATCTTGTCCGACCTGATTGTCAACGACACGACTTCCCAGCACAAACAACACTTGTTTGACCTCAACTGTCAGATCTGTACCGGCAAGATAGCGCCCCCAGCCGAGCAGGAACCGGTGACCAAAAAAGTGAAGGTTGGCCGCAGACCCACTGCAGAGGTACAGGCTCGTGAAGTACTGTAAAAGTGCAAATTTTCACATCTGGAAATGTTTGCATGACGACTCTTTAGACTTCTTACACTGTGGACATTTTCTTGTTTTTTTGTAATCGTCATAATCTGCAAATAAATAATCTGCAAATATTTATTTGCATTTGGATATTTTTGGTATAATTTACTACTCAATGCAATAAATGCAAGCATTTCCTCACCGCAAAAATGTCCACTTTAAATACTTTTACTGTAATAACTGTGTTCAGTTAACCTCATTGAAATCAGAATTATTATGCTTAATAATCATATCAATATTCAATAACTAGAGTTGGTTAAAGTAACAAAATGGGTCTCCTTGTCCCAGCTATCTGGAACAGCCCTTTCACCCCTATGTAGCTTTAGTTAACTCTACCATGCATTAATCTGGATAAGTCCATTATGGTCTATAGTGGTGAAAGGGTTAAGAATGAAGGGTTTGGTTGATGGCCTCCCTGTTTACTTTTTAAGGCATAGAAATTTAAAATAACCCCATTAATTTCCAAACTTTTGAGGTGAACCCCCAGATGTCTGAAAAGGATCCCAGCTATATGGAATACCCAGTACTAACTCTTAAATGGTTAATGACACTGCATGGGTCATTCTAGATAAAATGATTGGTTAAATTTGTTACATGGGTCATTCTAGATAAAATGTTTGTTTAAATTTGTTACATGGGTCATTCTAGATAAATGATTGGTTAAATTTGTTACATGGGTCATTCTAGATAAAACGATTGGTTAAACTTGTTGCATGGGTCATTCTAGATAAATGATTGGTTAAATTTTTTACATGGGTCATTCTAGATAAAATGATTGGTTAAATTTGTTACATGGGTCATTCTAGATATAACGATTGGTTAAATTTGTTGCGTGGGTCATTCTAGATAAATGATTGGTTAAATTTGTTACATGGGTCATTCTAGATAAAATGATTGGTTAAATTTGTTAAATGGGTCATTCTAGATAAAATGATTGGTTAAATTTGTTAAATGGGTCATTCTAGATAAAATGATTGGTTAAATTTGTTACATGGGTCATTCTAGATAGGTGATTGGTTAAATTTGTTACATGGGTCATTCTAGATAAATGATTGGTTAAATTTTTTACATGGGTCATTCTAGATAAAATGATTGGTTAAATTTGTTACATGGGTCATTCTAGATAGATGATCGGTTGAATTTGTTGCATGTGTCATTCTAGATAGATGATTGGTTAAATTTGTTACATGCGTCATTCTAGATAGATGATTGGTTAAATTTGTTACATGCGTCATTCTAGATAGATGATTGGTTAAATTTGTTGCATGTGTCATTCTAGATAGGTGATTGGTTAAATTTGTTACATGGGTCATTCTAGATAGATGATTGGTTAAATTTGTTACATGGGTCATTCTAGATAGATGATCGGTTAAATTTGTTGCATGTGTCATTCTAGATAGATGATTGGTTAAATTCTGTTAATATCTAGGAATCGGAGGAAGGAGAAGAGAAATCTGAGGCAGCATCGTCCAAGAAAACTGTGGAGGAACAGAAGAAGGCTGAGCAGGTGGTGGTAGAGGTGTTGAAGGCTATACAGAAGGCGAAGATCCAGACCGACAAAACTCCACCCATAGTAGATTCTACGGTCACTGTGGGGTAAGTGTTAAGTGATTTTAGGCAAATATTCAGACTGACAGAACTCCACCCATAGTAGATTCTACAGTTACTGGGGTAAGTGTTTCAGTGATTTCAGGCAAATATTCAGACTGACAAAACTTCACCCATAGTAGATTCTACGGTCACTGTGGGGTAAGTGTTAAGTGATTTCAGGCAAATATTCAGACTGACAGAACTCCACCCATAGTAGATTCTACTGTTACTGGGGTAAGTGTTAAGTGATTTTAGGCAAATATTCAGACTGACAAAACTCCACCCATAGTAGATTCTACGGTCACTGTGGGGTAAGTGTTTCAGTGATTTTAGGCAAATATTCAGACTGACAAAACTCCACCCGTAATAGATTCTACGGTCACTGTGGGGTAAGTGTTATTAGTGATTTCAGGCAAATATTCAGACTGACAGAACTCCACCCATAGTAGATTCTACTGTTACTGGGGTAAGTGTTAAGTGATTTTAGGAAAATATTCAGACTGACAAAACTCCACCCATAGTAGATTCTACTGTTACTGGGGTAAGTGTTAAGTGATTTTAGGAAAATATTCAGACTGAAAAAACTCCACCCATAGTAGATTCTACAGTTACTGGGGTAAGTGTTAAGTGATATTAGGAAAATATTCAGACTGACAAAACTCCACCCATACTAGATTCTACTGTTACTGGGGTAAGTGTTAAGTGATTTTAGGAAAATATTCAGACTGACAAAACTTCACCCATAGTAGATTCTACTGTTACTGGGGTAAGTGTTAAGTGATTTTAGGAAAATATTCAGACTGAAAAAACTCCACCCATAGTAGATTCTACAGTTACTGGGGTAAGTGTTAAGTGATATTAGGAAAATATTCAGACTGACAAAACTCCACCCATACTAGATTCTACTGTTACTGGGGTAAGTGTTAAGTGATTTTAGGAAAATATTCAGACTGACAAAACTTCACCCATAGTAGATTCTACTGTTACTGGGGTAAGTGTTAAGTGATTTTAGGAAAATATTCAGACTGAAAAAACTCCACCCATAGTAGATTCTACAGTTACTGGGGTAAGTGTTAAGTGATATTAGGAAAATATTCAGACTGACAAAACTCCACCCATACTAGATTCTACTGTTACTGGGGTAAGTGTTAAGTGATTTTAGGAAAATATTCAGACTGACAAAACTTCACCCATAGTAGATTCTACTGTTACTGGGGTAAGTGTTAAGTGATTTTAGGAAAATATTCAGACTGACAAAACTCCACCCATAGTAGATTCTACTGTTACTGGGGTAAGTGTTAAGTGATTTTAGGAAAATATTCAGACTGACAAAACTCCACCCATAGTAGATTCTACTGTTACTGGGGTAAGTGTTAAGTGATTTTAGGAAAATATTCAGACTGAAAAAACTCCACCCATAGTAGATTCTACAGTTACTGGGGTAAGTGTTAAGTGATATTAGGAAAATATTCAGACTGACAAAACTCCACCCATACTAGATTCTACTGTTACTGGGGTAAGTGTTAAGTGATTTTAGGAAAATATTCAGACTGACAAAACTCCACCCATAGTAGATTCTACTGTTACTGGGGTAAGTGTTAAGTGATTTTAGGAAAATATTCAGACTGACAAAACTCCACCCATACTAGATTCTACTGTTACTGGGGTAAGTGTTAAGTGATTTTAGGAAAATATTCAGACTGACAAAACTCCACCCATAATAGATTCTACTGTTACTGGGGTAAGTGTTAAGTGATTTTAGGAAAATTTTCAGACCTACAAAACTCCACCCATAATAGATTCTACGGTCACTGTGGGGTTAGTGTTTCAGTGATTTCAGGCAAATATTAAGACTGACCAAACTCGAAGAGTTACAATTTTAAGACCCTGTGTACTAGTGATCTCAAAGGAATCTAACACTAATATAAGGAGTTGAACTTGTACCTAATAGAACAAACACTTTCAAATGCTCTTAGACTTAGGCAATTGATAGTAACAAATCTTTCAGATTATCTTACCAAAGAAAGTAAAGTTCTTGAGTAAAATTCACCTGAAATGGAAGTGAGGATTTCATCTTCAAGTCCTGATTAAGAAAGAACTGTTTACTTTAGTGCATCCTGATGAACAGGGCTGATCTTCATTGAATATTTTTAGGTCACCTGACTGAGTCAAATTAAACCACAAATTGTAAATTATATGTATCTAACCCCTAGAAGGTCATATTGGCAAAAATTCCATAACCTTCTTCAGACCAAGATTTGCTTGAATCAAATACTCTTGCACTTCCAGTTGTACATTATCTGACCAAGATATGGTTGAATCAAATACTCTTGCACTTCCGGTTGTACATTATCTGACCAAGATATGGTTGAATCAAATACTCTTGCACTTCCGGTTGTACATTATCTGACCAAGATATGGTTGAATCAAATACTCTTGCACTTCCGGTTGTACATTATCTGACCAGGATTTGCTTGAATCAAATACTCTTGCACTTCCGGTTGTACATTATCTGACCAGGATTTGCTTGAATCAAATACTCTTGCACTTCCGGTTGTACATTATCTGACCAGGATTTGCTTGAATCAAATACTCTTGCACTTCCGGTTGTACATTATCTGACCAGGATTTGCTTGAATCAAATACTCTTGCACTTCCGGTTGTACATTATCTGACCAGGATTTGCTTGAATCAAATACTCTTGCACTTCCGGTTGTACATTATCTGACCAGGATTTGCTTGAATCAAATACTCTTGCACTTCCGGTTGTACATTATCTGACCAGGATTTGCTTGAATCAAATACTCTTGCACTTCCGGTTGTACATTATCTGACCAGGATTTGCTTGAATCAAATACTCTTGCACTTCCGGTTGTACATTATCTGACCAGGATTTGCTTGAATCAAATACTCTTGCACTTCCGGTTGTACATTATCTGACCAGGATTTGCTTGAATCAAATACTCTTTCACTTCCGGTTGTACATTATCTGACCAGGATTTGCTTGAATCAAATACTCTTGCACTTCCGGTTGTTCATTATCTGACCAGGATTTGCTTGAATCAAATACTCTTGCACTTCCGGTTGTTCATTATCTGACCAGGATTTGCTTGAATAAAATACTCTTTCACTTCCGGTTGTACCTTATCTGACCAGGATATGGTTGAATCAAATACCCTTGCACTTCCGGTTGTACATTATCTGACCAGGATATGCTTGAATCAAATACCCTTGCACTTCCGGTTGTACATTATCTGTATCGTGTTTCTGATGAAAGCTGTTCTAAACATGTTAACAATACATTGCTTGTGTGATTAAGGTTTTTATGATGTTGGAGATTCCATACTTATCACTGTTTTAAGTTCATCTCTTCTAACGGAGCTTTAGTGAACGCTTCCAGGTATCTGCAATCTACTTTGATGTAGTCGTATGATCTATGCACGATAAGTTGGTGCTCTCCCTTTGTTTGATCTTGTTTTAATTTGCTTGTTTCTCATATAGTTTGTACTTTATTCTGCCGTATGTAAGGCATGTGATTTAACCCTTTCATCACTTTGTAACTTTAGTAGACTCTACTATGCATTGATCTGGTAAAGTCCATTATGGTCCACAGTGGTGAAAGGGTTAACTGACTGTTCTTGTTATCGTCCAAACTACATACGTAAATAGTACATGTGTTGTGCATCCCTGTATTGCAAACAAAATTGAAGTCATAATATGCTACCTTGTCTAAATTAAATTATTAAAACTCTAGTTATTTTATTATATGAACTCTTGTTTGAAGGTCACCAGACTCGGCTCTCCAGTCGGGATTAGAGAAAAAGCCAAAGTTTACACCGTCTGGACCTCAGTTGTGGAAAGGGTTCATCTTCATGCAGGACGTCGCCAAGTTTGTCACAACGGCGTACCGGGTCTCTGGACCACATGTCAGACTGGTAGGTTTATTCATCTTCAGTACTGCTGGAAATGATCAGGACAATATCCATCCTCGATATCCAGGGGTTACCACACCTACACTCTGCATACCTGGAATATGTCATAGCAAAATTGAAGGCATGCAGAAGATTACAAAGGAGCGATGCCAGGCTTTGTCAATTGTTACTGTTACGCTACCACAAGATTCTTTTGGGGTACATCAAAAGACAAACTCGTCTTCTCGTCTAATCCACAAGGTGCTGCACATTGAGCCTTCAATTTTGCTATGAAATATTTCAGGGGTACAGAGAGCGAAAACGAGCGTAACCCCTGGATATCGAGGATGGACAATATCAGGCAGTCCCTAAACTTAAATCTTTCCTATAGTTTTGTATCTGAATTCAGTTTAATGAGAAATACAGCTTCTGGCATTCAGTTCTACTGTTTGATGCGCAAAGAATAAATTCTATTGATATCAAGTTTCAAAGCTCATGGTAACAGCACTACTAACTTATTTAGCTGGTATCATGGTCAGATCGTATAACTTATGGATGTGGTAGTGCCTGAGGGGAAGATGGGGGCATTAGTTGATCAGCCTTGGTTTTATTCACAGAAAATACTACAAGTCCAACGTGCCCTCAAATGAAGTTAATATTGGTTTCAAGTACATACATGGCATGTTAAATTTTATTTTTTATTATTTTTATTCAGGATTTGCCAGATACCATTCATGTGTGTGGGAGAATAGCACCAGAACAGGTCTGGGATTATCTTGCCAAGATGAAAAAGATTGGCACAAGGGTAAGGCCTGTTTGTATGATTTATATTCGTGTTGTCAGGGGCTAAAATTTCTCAAGTCCTAGGTCTGGGACCCAAAAAATGATACTAGCAGACCTAACCAAAAATGTTGTAAAAATCTATAGCAACTACATATCTTGTCAAACCCACATTGACTTAAACATGCTATATTTAGTGCTTAATTATAATCAAAGTGCTTTTTCTCATCTAGTACATAAAATTAAATAATGTTAATTTACATTTGTATTGTGAGCAGACCTACAGAAACTTTGTCAGGACCCAGGCTTTCTGGGCTGGAAAAGTCCTGGACCCAAGAATGACAAAAATACTTTCTAGACCCTTCAGTTATGTAATAGCTCCTAATTATAAGACACTTTCAGAAATTACCAATTGGGTAGATTAAAGGAGTGTTGAACCTATTAACCCATTCACCCCTGAAACTTCATAATGAACTATTCCAACCTTTGAGTTGGAAAGGTTCAAATGTGTCTTCAGGGGTATATGAGTTAAATACATCAAGGACTCTTTGAAAACCTTTATATACTGGGGTATTTTACATAAAGAAACCTTCTGTCACATACTGTTTAGTTATTGTGTCAGTGTTTAACCCTTTCATCACTGTAGACCACAATGGACTCACCCAGATCAATGCATGGTAGAGTTTACTTAAGTTACATAGAGGTGAAAGGGTTAATGTTGGTGTCGAATAGGAAGATGATTTTGAAGTCAGCATGATGTCATAATGAGAACATCTATAACAATTTTATTGGCCCATTATAGTCTCACAGAGGGACCCATTGCCACTATTGTTGACGTTTTCTTGTCCAAGTTGCTATGAAGTAAACAGTGGATGCCGCTGTATCTGTTTCAGGACATCTGTATATTGCGGTTCATCCCTGGGAAAGAAGAGGAGAAGACTTCCTACATCAACCTCTACTCCTACCTTAACAGTAGATCACGATGTGGGGTGGTGGGAAATTGTGCCAAGTACATCAAGGATTTCTACCTTCTCCCCCTGGCATCACATAGCAAAATACCGTCAATATTGAAGCCCTTTGATGGACCAGGTATGTAAAAGAGCCTTCTCTCTCTTGCCTCACATAGCAAAATACCCTCAATATGGAAGCCCTTTGATGGACCAGGTAATACTATGTTAAACTCATCCTGACTTCACATAACAAAATACCCTCAATATTGAAGCCCTTTGATGGACCAGGTATGTTAAACTCATCCTGACATCACAGGAAAATACCGTCAATATTGAAGCCCTTTGATGGACTAGGTATGTAAAACTACCTTCTCTCCCTGTTCTCTCGGAGGAAATTCCGTAAATATTGAAGCCTTTTGATGAACCATGCTTTCAGAACTACCTTTTCTCCCTGTTCTGTCATACTGTATAACATGAAATGTTCACTCAAATGTTCATGCTTTTTCACGGTTGCTTTTGAATCAAGAAAATAAACATAACAAGTTTTGTGCTATTTATAGTTGGGTTTTTTTTGGGGGGGGGGGGGGGGGGGGGATATTCATGAAGCTTTGTACCACAAAATCATCTTGAAACCACAAAAGAAAATATGTACAAACATTCTATGCTTTACAGTAGGACATTCCTTAAGTAATGAAACCTTTTGATAGAATTCATCTTCTACCCTAAGATCTCATAGGAAACATAGGAACAATACTAAACCCCTTCAGTAGACCATAAAAGTAGGTTTAATTTATCCCCCTTGTTGCTCTTTGGAAATCACTTGCTACTGAAGCGATCAAATAGTCCAGGGAAGTTGGCCTTTCTCATACTCCTTCTCCCTCGTAGGAAATTACCACAATACTGATTTCTTTCAATAGACCATGTAAGTGGCACTACCTTTTGCCCTGGGGTATTATCAAAATCTCTGGTTCTCAACTGATTATCTGAAGTTCTTCTGAGCAGACCCAAAAAGAGGAAATACCTTCTTTTCCTGTGCTCACAATAAAATCTCTGAAGTACTCCTTCAACCATTTGAAGGACCCAATAAGTGTTATTTTTTGAAAAAAATTCCTTACTTTAAACACAACAATTGTCCTTTATGAGAGCATTGTTATATGGTACCAGTAACTTATGACATAAGAGTTTTTAACTAGATATAGATTTGAAGGAATAACTTCTAGAGTTTTGATCACTGCAGGTTTAGAAGACAATCGACCTCACATGTTGCTGGCAGTAATTGTAAAACAGAAGATTAAACGACACGGCAGCGACTCGTCCAAACAGCCGTACGATCCATCAGACCCAAAGAAATCCAGGTCGTCGCATGATAAAGAATCGCGGCGACACAGTCTGCAGTCGTCCAGCTCGGAGTCATTTACATCTCCTCATTCTTACTCTCCTAGTACTAAATTGAAGGGGAGGAAAGCGTCCCCTAGGTATGTCTGTAAACTGCAAAATAAGCCTTGATTCCATTGATTGAAAAAACTTGATAATAAACAAAAAAAATCTTGCAAGGATATAGAAATTCAAATGATATCTAAAGATGAATTAAATAAACACCATTATTTACACATTTATGTCAAAAGGACAAAAACAAGTTTCACATTTATCCATTTATTGCAAGTAGCAGTCAAAGTCAGGAAGACACTCCCAACTTTAAGCATTGCCTATTTTCCTCATTTTTAGGATGTTGGCAATTCCGAAAATACTACAAAAAAAGTTTTGTAAAGCAAGTTCTTTATATATGTGTCCACAAAGTCATTTCCAACCAATGAAAGCTGTGATCTGTGGTTTTAGGTTGACGCCTACAAGTTCCCAGCGTGGTAAGGGCACGCCCCTTTCTGCTACACCCTCTACAACGCCCTCCTCTAGCATCACCCCTGGTAGTGCTAGCGCCACCCCAGGCACCAGCGACAGCAAGGACCCAATCGTCAAGTTCTATGGCTCTGGGGAACTCCTGCCTATGGAGAAAACTCCTGAGGGTAAGATATATTGATAATAACATAAATAGAAAAACATCTCATTTTATTTTCAATGTTTAACAATGTCGTCTGCTTTTATACATACTTATAGGGACTAATTTTTACATGAATGCACACATTGCTCAAAATCCAAGCTGTAGTTTATAAAGAGTGTGTTTGGTTTGTTACAGATGAAACTCCTTACTCACCTGGAGGTGGCGATGATGGAGATAATGATGACCCATACGACCCTGAAAATGTCAGCTTCGACAATGCAGAGGAAAGTAAACCAGCCACCCCCGCCTCTAAATCCAGCAACAGTGTTGCTCATATGATCGAAAAGATTGCCCATAGTGACAACCCTGCAGAAATGACAGCCATCATGGTTGCAACACTTGCCACGGCAACGTCACTTCGCGACAAACAAATGTTGTTGCTGGAACTTACACAAAAGGTGAAGGAACAAAAGGATCTGCTGGAGGCCAAACGAAAGCGAAAAGAAGCAGTCGCTGCGGCTCCAAGTGCCACACCCGCCATGGCATTGTCAACTCTGACCTCCGCCATCAGCGCCATAACAACCGTATCCAGGCAACTATCATCAGATGGACACAAAAAGTCCACAACGGCAGCTCCACCATCAGCTTCTAAAGCGCAGGCGACTAGCAGCAAGCCTACTGTTGATGCACAGAAGACAAGTTCTATTCCTCAAGTTAATGTCAGTACAATCAACTCCACTGAAGGCAGCAAAGAGCTCACATCAACTACTGTGACACAACAGGCAGGGGAAATTGGCGACAAAACAGAAAAAAAATCTTCAACAGAGCCAGAAGAAGGTGACAAGGAACCAAAGCCGGTGCCAGAAGCCCTGCAGTCACTGTTTTCCAGTATTCCAGGCAATTATAGCCATGTAACAAACCTGAAGCAGGATGAAACCAATCAGCAAGTGAACACATCGCCAACTAAAGAAGCCACCAAGGGTAGCAGTGCAGCTGTTGTGAAACCAGCAACAGAAGGAAACTCGGCTCCAAAAGAGCAGGACCCTGCCCCAAGCATCATCACCACTCGTGTCAAAGGTGGAGGGGAGAAGAAAAAGAGAGTCGGATTTGATGTGTCTCTTCTCAAGTTTGATTACGGAGATTCGGACAGCGACGGAGAGGAGAGCGGAAGTAAGGTGGAACCCAAAACAAATCCAGTCTACGAAGATACTTCACAGCCTGACTTCATCCCAGGACTCGATTTAGATGAAGACTCCTTGCCTGCTAAGGACATTCTTCCGCTTCCCCGTCATTCCATCCTGATGCCAATGCCCCCGTCTGAACCCCCTGAAGCACCACCAGATATGCCTCCAGACATGCCACCACCCCTTCCGCTAGAGCCCCCACCCCCACCACCAGACCATGATCCAGATGATGAGAAGGAGGAAAATGAAGACAAGAAAGGCAAAGGAAAAGGAGGCAACCAGAAACCCAAGCCTCCACCGGAGATTATGCTACAGGCCACAGACCCTGTTGGTATGGTTATTCTCCAGGCTTCCTTTAAGAAAATACAACAGGCACTGACAGTTCCCGCCCCACCTCTGCCTCCTCTCCCAGGTATAGGAATGCCCTCCCAAGGACCACCACTTATCCACGCCCAGATGCCACCCATGACAATGGCTGGTCCATTTTCTGCTACAGAAATGCGTTTGCCCCCACCTGGACCTGGCATGCCTCCACACAGACCCAACATGCCACCACCTGGACCTGGTATGCCCCGGTCTAGATCCGGCATGCCACTACCAGGACCAGGTATGCATCCACCTGGACCTGGCATGCCTCCCCCAGGACCTGGTATGCACCCTCCTAGACCTAACACAGGAAGGCATGCAAACATAGGGGGGCCACCAAGGCATCAAGACCGACGACCAAACAGAGGTGGTCCTCGCTTACATGGGGGACCAAGAGGATCATCACGAAGGCCACAGAGGGGTCACAGGTCAAAACATGGGATCCCTAGTCTGTTTGATCTGGATGCAGCTCCCACGCATGACTACAGTCGCAGGGCTGGGCCTTGGAGAGATGGAGAGGACTCTTACGAAGACTCTCCAGAATGGTCACTGGATCAGGACCTGCGTCAGGCGCAGGATCAGGATATGAGAAGAATGCAGGATCAAGATGAACGTGTTCGGCCAACATCCTGGACGGAGTACGACATGTCAAGTCCACCAATGATGGAAGACGTGGACCACAGATGGCCAGACCAACATAAACGCCAACCCAGGGTGCCTCTTGCCCTGCAAGAACAATCTCACTTGCCTCCTCTGCCTACGTCATCAGACATTCTCGAGGATAGTGATATGAGGAAGTTTGTACATCCTCACAATGTGGAGGATAGGGACTACAGGGTGAAGAGTGATATGTCCTCCTCACCGGCCACAACTGAGGACCAGGACATGAGGCTTCAGCCTCCAAACTTAAAATACTCCAAGGGACAATCAGACTCGGCCCCACGGGACACAGACTTAAATGAACCAAAACAAAAGAAAGCCAGATTAAAAGAGGACAGTACTGATTCCCCCAGTCAGAGTTCCTCACAATCACCTGTTGCCCCCATGTCCCCAATTGTGCCCTCTCAGCCCCTAACATCCTCCTCCCAAAGTCCTAGTCATGCACCGCCATCTAGTGACAGACTTAAGGGACCAAAGACTTTGTCAACATTTGGCTCCAAGCCTATGCTTGACCAACAGAGACCAGGGATGCCCATTAGGCCACCAATGGAGATGGGCTCTCCCCTAGGGCCCAGTCCTATGGGGGGTCCACACCCACCCAAAGAGATGGGCAGACCAAGGCATCCGCCACCTCGTCCTCAACGGAATCAACCAGCACCACCTGGTGTTGATGACTGGGACTAAGTCATGTCATAGTTCTTTTCTTTTTTTAACCATTCAGTATGTCTCTTGTCTCGTGTCACAAATATCGTTGTATCTAGTCAATCCTATTGATATTACATCAACATGTCGATCGGTACTTACAAATGTTAAAGCGCTTATCCTGCTTCTCAGTGTTCAAAAATGTGGCCAGAAAACTTTGTTCATGCTTCTTTTGATGAATTCAACATGAAACTTCAACTTATCACAAATGTCATGCCCAGATTTTTTTGTGTATTATATGGATTGGGACATTGTTTCATGCTAGAACAACAAGGCACCTGTTAACCTGGTGCTTCAAGAAAGACAACACCTGTAATTTTGATTGGATGACTAGCTGCAGGTGTTTGTTGAAGTGATGGTGCTTTGTCCTTACCATCTTCGGCCCCATGTGAAAATCAAATTTCAATAAGCAGACGTGTGATTTTCACCTGGGACTGATCACAGGGGCACGTTACAAATGTCTGAAATACACACATATGCTATACTGATATGGGTCACAACACACATAAACATACACAAGGGAAGAAGCTTCGTCAGAGCACTACCGGTACCGCCAAATTTCAAATGAAGATTTTCAACACTTACTTTTGTTATTTTTTTCAGCGATCTGCGGCGATAGCTTCGGTTTGAATTGTAATTAAATAATCCATCATGATCAATTGTGTAATCATTCGTCTAATACATCCAATCAAGCACTTTTTCGGGGAATTTGCAGTTTTACCGCCATGATTAACTTGAACCTGACCCGGAAATGACGAGGGCTTTTCGACATGTCTTTATACCATACTGCCAAATACTACGGAAAGTCCCAAGGCCATCCGAGTAGAGTCTAGTCCCGCAGCAAATAATTTTTGGCGCAATGTTTAAAACATCATGTCTGGCATCGTGTCCTGGTATGTATTTCACATTTACATAGTCCAATATTTTTGATACGGTAACTTTTAAACGTAAAATGCAAAATACGTACCAGGAAACGATGCGAGACATGATGTTTTATACATTGCGCCAAAAATTATTTGCTGCGTGACTAGACTCTACTCGGGGGGCCTTGGGACTTTCCTTAGTATTTGGCAGTATGGTATAAAGACATGTCGAAAAGCCCTCGTCATTTCCGGGTCAGGTTCAAGTTAATCATGGCGGTAAAACTGCAAATTCCCCGAAAAAGTGCTTGATTGGATGTATTAGACGAATGATTACACAATTGATCATGATGGATTATTTAATTACAATTCAAACCGAAGCTATCGCCGCAGATCGCTGAAAAAAATAACAAAAGTAAGTGTTGAAAATCTTCATTTGAAATTTGGCGGTACCGGTAGTGCTCTGACGAAGCTTCTTCCCTTGTGTATGTTTATGTGTGTTGTGACCCATATCAGTATAGCATATGTGTGTATTTCAGACATTTGTAACGTGCCCCTGTGGACTGATGATGGTTCTTGTAGGCAATATCACTAACGCTAGAGGCAATCTTATCTCTCAACAACATGGCTGTTGTCCGAGCTGTTCGTAATCTTGTGTCCGTTTTTTGTCGTGTATGGTACCAAAGCATTATTATCTCCGTCTGTTGAGGGCCCTGTGATCCCTTACATTGGTGTTTTGTTATGAAATGTAAAGCTGTTGACTCCGACTCAGCACTATCACATCCGTCAACAAAACTATGGAAGAACATAGTGCCATAAGCAATGCAATGACAGCTGAAAGAGATTCTCAGGTGTTGAAAGTGTTCACTGGAGTGTTCTACTGATTAGGATGGGAAAACATAATTTAAGTAGAAAAATAAAAACAGTAATTGGTTTTTAAAAAAAAGTCTAGTCAGACCACCATGCCCTATAATGTTGACTTCCAATTACACTACTGGCATCCTCGATACTCCTGGGGTTATGCTTACTAACACTCTACGCTCCATGAATAGGTCATTGCAAAATTGAAGGTTCAGTGTGTGCCATCTAGTTAACTATATATAATGAGACAAGAAGACTAGTTTGATCCTTTGAATTGATGTATATCAAAAGAATGTACGTGTGACAGTAACATTGACAGGCTTCGAAGTCGGATGTTGCTCTTCTGTAATCTTTTAAGGACAGGTATTGGTGAAATGTTTTGGTAATTTTATTGACCCGAGACCAATCAAATAGCTAGCCATATGCCTTAAACTCATTCCCCTCTGAAGACACATTTGAACTCCTCCAATTCAAAGGTTGGAATAGTTCATGGAGGCATGGTAGTCTAGTGGTAGGACGCCAGGCTCATGACCGAAGGGTTGCGTGTTCGAGTCGCCGCACGGCACTGTGTTGTATCTTTGAGCAAGATACTTAACTCTGCTTGTTCCAGTCTACTCAGCTGTAAATGAGTACGTGGTTGTTGAATGCTAACTGTTAGTGCCGAAATGGCAGCTCCGGCTGTATGCTTACAAGGGAGTTGAGAAAGCTATTGGCTGGTTGCAAAGGCCCTATAACCACCGATAATAATTTGTGAACCGCATTGAGATGACCTACGAACTGGGTCGGATAAAGCGGTATATAAGAACCTCAAATTATTATTATCATTATTATGATGAAATTTCAGGGGTGAATGAGTTAATCTTGCTATAACGTATTCCAGAGGGGCGGAGAGCACAAGTGAGCATAACCCATTGAGTATTGAGGATGTCCTATTGATAACGGACCGATCAATATTAATACAGGTAACTGGTGAAATGATTTTGATGTCCCAGGGTATGTATATACAGTACACCTAACTGTGTTATCACCCAACTACATCACTCCACATAAAGGTCTATGTGACAGGTCATTTGGGTCTGTCTTCACTACACACATGTATCATTTTGTGGTTGAAACGTTTTTCATATTGTTTAAAGCCCATCAACAATTTTTTTCAAATCATTTTGGGCAAATTGCAAGCACACGGAATGCATGAGAGAGATTGAATTGAAACTTATTAGTTTTATTTCACAAGAGAGAGAAAAAAAATCACAAAATATTTTATATTCATATTAAAAATAGTCTTTTGTATGCATGATTATAGGAAACAGTCGTAGGAAATTGATCAGTTTTTCACACAAGTTTCAATGTGAAAGAGTAACAAAATTATTGCTGAAAGATTTGGTACATTGTTTGTCTTGTATAAGCATAGAGAGTTGGGCCCCTTTCGTGTATACATTTCAACCAGTTGAAACGGTTGAACCTGTAAAGAAAACGACAGGCACAGATCTGAACCGAGGCTGCTTGCGGAATATTTGGCACGCTGACTATTGCTAGTTTGCGTTATTTCTTTTAAAACAATGTCAAGCCACATGCAGTTTTTAAGATACGTTATGTAATTTAGTGGACGTGTTAAAAAAGGGTCTAATATACCTGATACTTTGTTATTTATTCTCCAAAACTGCATTTTTAGCTCTGCTTATAGAACGGTCCAAGTGTGTTCGACTATCGTGGAATATTTCTGTGCCATTAATTGGATTATTACTGAAATACTTCAGAATGGGTGATACTTTACCTTTATACACAAAATGTTGAAGTTTCATTATTATTTAACAGGCAGAAGAAAACATTTTTCAATGTACATGGGTTTTCATTTTCGTTTGACTAGAAATTTTTAGGACCTTTTCCATAAAATTTATTCAACATTAATTTCCAAATTATGACTATGGTCAGTTTTGGAAGTTTTGAGTTTTAAAAAAATCAAAAAAAATCTATGGCAATAAAACTTATACAGTTTCTTTAACTTGATTGTTTTTTGAAAAAAGGGTCCCTGGTGTTAATAAGAAGAAACTACTTACTTTGTTAAGATATTAATCTGGTGCTGTATGTAATACTGGCTCAGTTAATGTTCATGACATTATATACATGTGTATGTACGAATTGTAACTAATTCCTCTGAAAATACCAACTGTACAGTATTAATGCCAAATTTGTTATTTTGTGGTCTTAACTGTGCCATTGTAGATATAGAAGACTTGAGATTTTAAATGCATTTCAGAAGTCCTGTGACTAGGTCATGCACTGCCCTGATAGTGTACCGGTGTATATATATTCTCTGATAGGAACGTCAGTGTGATACATGATTTCTTATGCTTGTTTTATATGGTAGCACACTATGGCATGAATATCATGTTTTTTAAAATGCAATTTCAATAGAAATAATGAAAAATATATCTCAAACTGTTAAAGGTTACATCATGCAATCTTTGAAACCAAGGGGTTCTACTCTCTAAACACATATATCTTCTCGAGGTCCTTAACTTATTCACCCCTGAAATTTCATAATGAACTGTTCTAACCTTTGAATTGGAAGAGTTCAAATGTGTCTTCAAGGTTGAATGAGTTAATCTCCCAATTCTCTACAGATGTCAAGACAAAATTCAACGACACATGGTAAGCTATTTGATTAATTTCAATTATTTTCAATGAAAAAAATCTGACAAACCACAAGGCTGATACCAGTGTCGTTTAAAGATTATAGATTACAACCTCAAAGCAGGTCAATTCTGCAACTGCATGTCGCATGAAAGGTGTTAGGAAAGCAGAACCTTTGGATTTTGTTATTGCTGAATTGGCACTATTTTGATAGTGCAAATGCTATTCTATCATGTCGATGTCTCCTGTTACGGGTAAATGGGGTAAAAATGAGAACATTTCCAGTTTTAAGGTACTTACAGGTAAAAAGTACAATTGCACCAACAAAATTCACTATGATTTAGAGTTACTTCCCTTGTCATTCATCTCTCATTTTGATGTTTTGTATGATTATAGCAATATCAGAAAGTATAGTGTCTTTAGGCAATAGGTCTTTAGTTTGACTCCTGTAGTATATGTTCATTCTAGATTAAAAAGAATCAAATTCTCCAGTAGCTATAATTCTGTCAAATGTATCGGAGACCTGATTTCTGTAAAGCACGACACATATTCAAAATAGTGATAATGTCACTCGAGTTTTACTCTTCACCTTAGTAACAAATTTTAAGTATTATTCCTAGAAACTTTCACGGAAACCCAACAATATCCACTGTAGAATTTGTGGCAAGTCATGAAAAGGAACTGCATTTGATTTTCTTAGAGCAGGGGAAATTGTATACATCCTTACTGTGTCGACAGGTGCTATCATGCAAGTGTTCCTATTCATTTTGCTCTTCACCGACGGTGTTCGCAATTCACAAGGTTTGTTTTCATTGCCATTGTTGTGTTCATATAAATCTGTAGAAGCGTTATGAATTGTTTATTTCTGTATTTTTATGTTTCCATTGTTAAGTCATGTTACAGAGATCGATACTGTTAATGGTTATGTTGTTAAGATTGTAAATGTTATTATTGCTGTCATTTTACCCATGTACTGCGTTTTGTATAGGATCATGTTTCCCATGAACTGCATTTTTTTGTGAAAGTATGACAGTATCGTTTCTCGTGTACATGTATATTGTCAATGATCATGTGATACACAATTAAAAATGTAAAATATTCTGTCTGCCGGTCATTATTTGTAATAATAGTTAAAACATACAGACAAGTGGAAACTTCTACAACGAGGAATAAAAGCGTAAACAGAGATACTGAAAGACGGAAAGAGGATGTATACTTAAGATGGCCCATCCATTAAACAGAAGAGCAAGTGAAGCAGTGGAGATACATAGACTGGAACACTTCCAGCAGATCGTAAACCGGTCAGACCGACTTGTGCTTGCTGCTGTCACTAGCATAATATTTGGATATCATCGAAAATCTGGGATTATGCTTTCCTACTTTCTTTCCACCTTACCCATCCTCATACGACCCTGGCTGTTGTGTCTCCCTAGGCACCCATCCTCATATGACCCTGGCTGTTGCGAGGACGTTAAACCCCAAACAAACAAATTCTATCCACCTCTGGAATATGTCGTGACAAAATTGAAGGCATACAGTTAGCTTTTTAACTGATTTCGGGCATAAAAAAACCTAACCAATAACTAGGCTGTTGCCTTTCCTTTGAAGATTACAGGAGCTGGTTCGTTTTACTGTTTCGCTGCTGCGTGATTCTTTTGATTTGCATCAGAGGAACAAACTTATTTCCTTGTATTATTCGCAAGGTGGTTCATACAGAGGGTTCAGTTTTGTCATGACATATTCCAGGGGTGCCGAAAGTGTAACCCACTAAAGAGTACTCCAATAAGCCATCCACAAGCTAATGAATGTGACGAGATTAAAGGGTTTGCATTGATGTGCTTAAAACGGAAGAGCAAGGAGCCCCACATTTTCCAGACCACCTGGGACAACGAGATACCAGTAAATTATTATCCGTGGTTATAGGGCCTTTGCAACCAGCAAATATCATTCTCAACTCCCTGGGGAGCATACAGCCGGAGCTGCCAATCATATCCTGGACAACAGGTGCTAACCCTAATTATATGTAACTTTCATATCGGTTGGTCACGTACCATTCTCTCTCATTAGTAGCACCTGCCCAGAGCCATAGATTGTTAATTATCTTCTAATATATAATTATTCTTTCACTATGATTTTTCTGGTAGAGCTTGCTTTGTTACAATAATAAGTAATTCTCAAGATCAGCGACAAATAATTAAGAATTTTTTATAAAGCTCCAATTATGAAAAAAACATGTTTTAAATGAAATGTTATGATTGAATCTTGCTTTAGTCTATTTCATGGGTCGATTAATTGAGTTGCTCTTGAGACAAATTTAATTATCGGTAGCTGCTTTGTTTCATGGGTGATGAATTGAGTTGGACAAATTCATCATGATCTGCTTCACAACTAAATTCATCGCCCCATGAAATTGACAAAAGCAAGATTCAATCCTTAAACGAATTAATTAACAATGAAAAAAAAAAAGAATAAGACTTTTTGGATTAATTCTATCACATTTTTTTAATGATTTTTGTTTTCTCCTACCCATTTCAACATCCTGATTGCATACACGTCTATCTGCGTCCTTTCTTTTTCGACATTTGTGAGGAAAAGTTTTTACGTTTTTGACGTGTCTGTTCCTGATGTTTTTGGAAGGCCTGTTTCTTTGCTTTTGCGTTTCTACTTTTCATAATCTGTTCGGGGCGTTTGCGTTCCTGTTTAGGGCGCTTGAATTTACCATTCTTTGAGCTATCTTTGGAGCCTTCTTGACCCTGTGTGTGCCCTGTTCAACGATACAAAGTAGAAATATCATATGAAAAAATGTGATTCTAAAATGACAAAATACAGACTGAAAACCTTACTTTAAAATCTCTATAAATATTGGATTTGCAGTAATAAGATTAGCAGGTTTATTTATAAATTGTAGTTTGCATGGTGGTCTTATCAAATTCAAAATTTCTTTGTTTATCAATTACCGTTAATTTTCCAAAGCCTGTGCCCATGTTAGCATACAGGTAATTTTTCACTTTTGATTTAATTATTAGTAATTTTCAATGATTTCATAACGTATGGACCTTGATTATACATGTACTTCAAATTTGAGAAAAATCAAACTAAAAAAAAAATTGATTCAGGAATAGAATACTTATAGTGCTGCTATTTATAGTATCTACACACCTAGACCCTAGGTCGAGACGTTCGATTTAAGCCATTGTTGTTTCATTTATCTGACAAGAACTTCTAAACAATTTCTTCAGGTTGGTAAGTAGAGATTGTAAATAGGTTCATATAGCACAGCCAGTTTGGTACAATGTGTCTTCTGTTCCGTTCTTTAGACAAAATAATGTATGTACGAAACATCACACAGAAGCATGTCACTGGTTGTGCTATATAAATCTGTATACTATCTTGGACATGGTTGAAAAATCGAAAACAAAAATTTTAAGAAAATCAATTCCTCTTTTTCCACTTTCTCTGCTGTACTGGAGGTCAAGGTAGTAATTGTAGAAACCTGAGGCTTGTTTGTTTGTGGTTTGTCAGTTTTTGAAATATAACATTTAATGTTTTTGCAAATGTTTATGCAGGCCTTGAAGGCTCGTCTGAAAGCAGCATCATATTACTAGGGCCAACCATATTTCATAGATGAACAACTCTGGTCCAATCGTTTGGATCGTGATAAACCAAAAACGGCCAAGGTTTCTAGAAGCACTTTTTTCCTGTCATTAAACTTACATTTCCTGCCCTTGCCTCCAAGGACCTTGATATAACCTCTGTCCTCTCTGTCGCCCTCATTGTTATCACTGTCGGCCTCTGCCTCATCCACCTTGTTTTTGTTCTGCCATTCCTTATAAGTACGAAGTGTTAAGGGCGATAACAGATCTTAAACCAAACAGCATACTGACCCTGAATCAAATGTACAGTGACGTGCCGCAAGTCTTTCACGTTACGTCATTTTTCCGTTTGGTTCCATGTTAATTTACGTTTTGGAAAGTTAATTTTTTCTTGGCTTTGTTTTTGGTCAAATATAGATGAAATTCAACTCATAGCTACTGTATTTTACAGTCTAACAATCTTGAAATCCAAGGCTTTCGCTCTCCTCTGCACTCCTTGAATGCGTCTTGACAAAATTGAAGGGTCACGGAAAGCTATTTGACCGGTTTCAGGTAAAAAGCCTGTCAATTGCTAGTTACACCTGTCCTTTGAAGATTACAGAGGAGCGACACCCGACCTCAAAACTGGTCAATTTTACCGTGACCCTGTCATTCTTTTGTTGTACATCGAAGGACCAAACCAATCTACCTGTATCTTCCACAAGGTGGTGCTTACAGAGCCTTCGATTTTGTCACGACACATTCCAAGAGTGTAGAGAAAAGGTGTACCTTGAGAACGAAGCAATAGGATCAGATTTTGAGGATGATTCTAGGGGGGGCAGAGAATATGAGTATCAAGAGCAGGACCATCAAGGATGATCATCTACAAATAATATACAACAACATTTGATATAGCGCCCTATCTAGCTAGATTAAACCACTCTAAATCACTTTACAGTATATAGATATACAATTAGTACAATTAGCATATACATTAATCAATTCGTTTGGAGGAATTCGCAGGAGCTGCCTTATCGGGCGATAACTACTAAGCCTATGCCACCTGGCTAATATCTCCCTATGTGTGTATGCCCGCGTGTGTGCTGGAGATGTATTGTGTTCTGTTTGTAGTGGGACCATGCTTCCAACATGCATCAAGTATAGTGCCACCTCACATGAATACTACAGCACAGATACCACAACATCCATCCCAGACGATTTTATACTCCACCTGGGTTGTTGGAGTTGTGTGGATAGTAGAAAATAGTTTCTCTGAATATTCCATGTGTAAGACGACTTTGGGGATCGAACCATGGCCGCCTGCTTGGAAGGACAAAGTGTTAATTCTGCCCATACAAACAAGAACAGATTTGAGAGATAGAAAGGATATGCATTTGACTTGTAGGAGGCAGGGATCCAAGCCCCACTTTCAGTTCGTATTTTCTTCTTCTTAGGGTCATTGTTGTCCTCCTTCACAAACTTCTTCTTCTTTCTGTCCCTGAAACGATCATAAATATATTTCTTTGAAATTGAATCGGAAAATCAGATTTAAGAAACACAGCCCGTCAATTTATCTAACAACCACCAAATATTTATCCCACTACTCGGCCAGTATTTTTTTAAACAAATAATTCTTTTGGAAATAAACGATTATTTTCTTTATAAAATCATCCCAGCATGCACTGTTACCTCATACCTCAAAAACCTGTGAAGAAATTGCTTCATTTTAAAATACTTTTCGATTTTATGATTATACCGCAGAAGTATATTTATCCGCTTTTAAGTACCGTAATGGTTAGTCTTACCATCGAGCAGAAGTCTTAAATTTCTTGATAGCGTCATCGTCGTCTCCTGCAATATCAAACTGGACGGCAGAACTCTCTTTATCAAACGAGGTCCCCATACTGAATCTGCAACAATGGAGTGACATACTAATGCTACAGAATTCTGTTGTCCAAATCCAGACTATCATTTGAATTGATTTAATTTAGTCTTAATGGTACATCAGTACTGTTAATACCATATTAAACCTTCAAACAGAAGAAAGTGATCAATTCCATCTTTTCGTATTGTGAGTAGGTATTGATTGTTACGTCATTTGTTTGTGATAGTAACGTCATCAATTTTTGAGAAAACGACGTAATTTTCTCACACAAACCAATGACGTAACAATAAATACTTGCTCACAAGAGAGGATAACTCTGCAATATGCAAAGACGGAATAGGTGGACGTGATATCAAAAGTCAACAATAGGCGAACGTAATATCAAAAAAAAGTGTAACAGTTTTAGACAACCAAAGGGTTAGGAAAGGAATTACATTAAAATAACACACAATTTAATAGATGCAGCAAATCTCTTTGATGTCCTCGAAATGAAAGACACACAAAGAAATCAATGAATTACAAACATTAATCAATTTGATCTTACGATCATGCAGTGGGGTAAAACAGTCCGAACAGGATTGTATCAGGACATTCTAGGATATCAACACTCCCAAGTCCAAATTGGGGAAAATCAAAAACAAATCTAGGAAAATTAGTAGTGATACATCAATTTGATAAATCGTGAAGAAAATGAATCATTTAAGTTTTTATCTCTTCAAATTTTTTCCCCGTCTTCCTTTGAAGATAAAGTTTAAATTAACCACAAGACTACAAAACTACAAAATAATATTTTAAATTTTAAATTTTTGCAATTTCCGAATTTGTTTTAACATATTGGAATGAAATTGGAACTAAGAGCGAATGGGAGATTAAACTGACCTAAACAAAAGGTATTAAGTTCCTGCCAACTCTTGTAGAAGATTTAGTGTAAACATAGTGACCTACCCTCGTTCGGTCTGGAAGTCAGATGGGCGATAATTGAGATAGTTCTCTTCATCCTTGATTTCCACAAACTTGCGTTTTTTCTCTTTCGGTTTGAACACCCGTTGACTTTCCTTTCCTCCGATCACTTTACTGAACGCTGACTGAAGATTTCAATATAAAGGAAAAACAACAATGAATTTCAATGAATTTGAAAACAAGTCAAGGATACATGTATCTACAAGTATCTACATGTATTCAAGCTTATTGTTTTTAAATGAGGATTCAGACCAAATTCACTAATTTCAGGAAAACTAAGATTAATACAAGTTAATCAGATTAATACAATAACACTTGACAAGTCAGCATAGGCCCGCCATATGCGTGACTGTACTCACAGTCTATTTTTAGCAACAGTGACCTCGACCTTAGATTTAAAAAAAAATCTTATTGCACTTCGACATGTTAAGCTTCAAGAAGATTAGTCTTTTGGATCCTCAAGATAATTCACGGGAATGAAAGTGTGGACACACAGACGGACACCTTGATTACTACAGGGCACCTGTATCTCCGATGCGAGGTCTTAATAATTGTGCTACAACTCTTTTACCCCTGAAGACAAATTTGAACTCTTCAAATTCAAAGGTTGGAATAGTTCATTATGAATTTTCAGGGGTGAATTTGTTAAGGTAAGATGACTACCCAAATCACTTTTCAGCCAAATTTGATTTTGAACAATTAATACTGTTGTTATAATACAGGCCATGATTCTATCCCATCATGCACCTCTAACTCATTGTCCTCCACTGTTTCTTGCATCTGCAACCTCTCGTCTTGTAACTTTTCCAGGGACTTCTGCTGGAATGCGGACACGTTTTCATTCTTACGCTCGATCACATTCTGATGCCAGCCTCTCTTTGACTTCATCACAGAAAACGCCGGTGTCTTTGCTGTGGAGTTGACTTCAAATATTGTCTGAAACATAGCCATAATATTGTATAAATATCAGACGACACACAATTATCCTAAGTCCCTATTGGTTGGATTATAATCACATGGAAGTCGGTGATTTGTGTTACTATATTTAGAAACATCAGGTCAATATTCACTTTATGACGTCAGTTCAATTGTAACGTCAAAATGCTCCTTGCCAAATGTAGGACTTTCCTCTGTACAATTTTCATGAATATTATTTAGCATTTTATACAACAATTTAATAAGGACTTTTCGGTGATATGTGATTATATGGACCTGATTTTTTTTACATTTACCTCAGCTTTGTCTTAGTCTATATCATTTTCTCAGGTCCATATAATCACATGTTCAAGGACAGAAAAGTCCATAAATGATCATTTTGCTTTGACCACAGGGCCTGTATTCTTGAAATCGTTCTTATGCTCAAGCATGGATTTTGTGCTCAAACCAATTTATTTCAAGCTTGGTAAAATCATGTAATTACACATTAAAAAAAAGTCAAGTCTCTACGTTTCAGATAGAAATCGGCTTCAAATCTCTATAAAATTCTTCATAATCTTGGCAAGATGTGAATCGTTATTGAGTTATAGCCAAAACAAGAACAAGAGTACCACGGGGCGGAACAATATACGCCCGTCAAATGCCATATAGTGTTATGTACTTTCTTACATTGAAATAATATCTGCATCATTCAAAGAGTGGTTAGCTGACATGCTATAAAAATGTAGGAGAAAATCTCCACATAAAAAAATCAAATACTGAAATGAACAAAGGGCAATAACTTTTGCACAAATCGTCGAAACAAAATTCTTTTCAAGGAAACACAACAACATCTCATGATTATTTAGCCGACTAAGTTTCAAAGAGATCTGTCAAAAAATGTAGGAGGAGAATGCCGGACAAAAATCAAATACTGAAATGAACAATGGGCAATCACTTTTGGAAAAATTGTCGAATCAAAATTCTTTTAAGGGAGACACAACTTCATATCATGACTATAATATATACCAAGTTTCAAAGAGATCGGTCGAACAATGTAGGAGGAGATTGCCGGACAAACAAAAGTTTACGCCGGACAGACGGACGGACAACGCCATACCATAATACTCCCGTCAAATTTGACGGGCGTATAAAAACTGATCGAGCAAGAAATTTGGGTTTGAGTAAGAGAATGCTTTCATGAATACGGATCCTGGTTTCTACAAACATACAGGTGGTGTCGTGTGTCTATGTGTGTAAGTAGAACTCGACCAGTAATCATGTGTCTATGTGTGTAAGTAGAATTCGACCAGCAATCATGTGTCTATGTGTGTAAGTAGAATCCGACCAGTAATCATGTGTCTATGTGGGTAAGTAGAATTCGACCGGTAATCATGTGTCTATGTGTGTAAGTAGAGTTCGACCAGTAATCATGTGTCTATGTGGGTAAGTATAATTCGTCCAGTAATCATGTGTCTATGTGTGTAAGTAGAAATCGACCAGTAATCATGTGTCTTTGTGGGTATGTATAATTCGACCAGTAATCATATGTCTATGTGTGTAAGAAGAATTCGACCAGTAATCATATGTCTATGTTTGTAAGTAGAATTCGACCAGTAATCATATTTCTATGTGTGTAAGTATAATTCGACCAGTAATCATGTGTCGATGTGTGTAAGTAGAATTCGACCAGTAATTATGTGTCTATGTGTGTAAGTAGAATTCGACCAGTAATCACATGTCTATGTGTGTAAGTAGAATTCAACCAGTAATCATGTGTCTATGTGGGTAAGTATAATTCGACCAGTAATCATATGTCTATGTGTGTAAGTAGAATTCAACCAGTAATCATATGTCTATGTGTGTAAGAAGAATTCGACCAGTAATCATGTGTCTATGTGGGTAAGTAGAATTCGACCGGTAATCATGTGTCTATGTGTGTAAGTAGAATTCGACCAGGAATCATGTGTCTATGTGTGTAAGTAGAATTCGATCAGTAATCATGTGTCTATGTGTGTAAGTAGAATTCGACCAGGAATCATGTGTCTATGTGTGTAAGTAGAATTCGACCAGTGATCATATGTCTATGTGTGTAAGTAGAATTCGACCAGTAAGCATGTAGTCTCTTTAATCCTGACATGGTCAAAAGGTCAAGTGTAAACATTATTCGACCAGTAATCATGTGTCTATGTGTGTAAGTAGAATTCGACCAGTAAGCATGTAGTCTCTTTAATCCTGACATGGTCAAAAGGTCAAGTGTAAACATTATTCGACCAGTAATCATGTGTCTATGTGTGTAAGTAGAATTCGACCAGAAATCATGTGTCTATGTGTGTAAGTAGAATTCGACCAGGAATCATGTGTCTATGTGTGTAAGTAGAATTCGATCAGTAATCATGTGTCTATGTGTGTAAGTAGAATTTGACCAGTAATCATATGTCTATGTGTGTAAGTAGAATTCCACCAGTAATCATATGTCTATGTGTGTAAGAAGAATTCAACCAGTAATCATGTGTCTATGTGGGTAAGTAGAATTCGACCAGCAATCATGTGTCTATGTGGGTAAGTAGAATTCGACCAGTAATCATGCGTCTATGTGGGTAAGTAGAATTCGACCAGTAATCATGCGTCTATGTGGGTAAGTAGAATTCGACCAGTAATCATATGTCTGTGTGTAAGTAGAATTCGACCAGTAATCATGGGTCTATGTGGGTAAGTAGAATTCGACCAGTAATCATATGTCTGTGTGTAATTAGAATTCGACCAGTAATCATGTGTCTATGTGGGAAAGTAGAATTCGACCAGTAATCATGTGTCTATGTGGGAAAGTAGAATTCGACCAGTAATCATGTGTCTATTTGGGTAAGTAGAATTCGACCAGTAATCATGTGGCTATGTGGGTAAGTAGAATTCGACCAGTAATCATATGTCTGTGTGTAAGTAGAATTCAACCAGTAATCATGTGTCTATGTGGGTAAGTAGAATTCGACCAGTAATCATGTAGTCTCTTTAATCCTGACATGGTCAAAAGGTCAAGTGTAAACATTGGAAACAGTCATTCTTCCAAATAATTTACAAAATGTGGATTTCCATTTATTTATCACAGAAACAACAAATTCAGGTTAGGCACAGAATCTGAGTTTGAGCATGAGAACGCTTTCATAAATACGGGCCCTGATCTACAGATTTCATAGTAAATTGCCATTATCAACCTTTTCTATATTTCTTAAGTTCAGAAAACCTCATTTCAGAGATCTTTCATCAAAATATCTTAAGATTTGATTAAGACTTTTTATAAGTAGAAATCGTGAATACAGATTTTTCAATTTCATCTTTTTTAAAACTCTTTTAGCAGTTTTGTATCAAAATTCTATAAGAGTAACTAAAAACCACTTGTCAGGTTGTGCGAACATTAAAAATAATTCCTGGGGAAAATTAATTTGAAACAACAAACATGTCACAATTACTTTATTGGGGGAAAAAACTGAAGATGAGTCATAAAGATATTAGCTTGACAAAAGGACCAGTCAGTCTTGAAATGTTGTGACATGTTTGATATGTATATTATTTGTGCATAAAGCAAAACTTTGATATAACATATTTCCAAACAGATGAATCTTATTGAAGAGTAAAATAAAGCTCACTAAAAATAACTATAATTTAATCCTTTTACCCTTATTTAATTCTAATTAACCCTCCCATGCATTGATCCGAATGAGATCATTATGGTCTAGTGGTGAAAGGGTTAATTCATATAAATTTTCTAAATTATTGTATTTAAAAATCTTTATTACAAAAAGGAAAGGTAATTTTATTACCTTTCTAATGAATACATAATTTGTTGGAATAAAACACCAATTTAAACTAGAAAATGTCTGTAAGACAGAAACGCCCCCCCTCTTATGGATGGGACAGGATGGGACGCAACAGGACGGGACAGGACAGACATGGGCAACACTATGTGCCCCCCATTGTATTGCGGGGGCATACAAAAAAATGCATAGATAAATGAAATCATTAACGGTGTTCTGTATGCTGGGATACTTACAGTATTACTCTTGTAGGTCTTGAGTGAGTTAAGTAGGTTGATACGCTCCATTCCCGAGTCATCAATCAGCTCACCTGGGGGTAGAGTTTATAACATGATGAATGTGCTACAACATTAATGATCTCTCTTGTAAATCTAAATTTTACGAGTGAAATCACGATCATGTGATACCTAACTACCCCACCTTCCATCCTGCAATGTTTAACCCTTTCACCCCTAGGTAACTTTAGTAGACTATACCATACATTTATCTGGGTGAGTCTATTATGGTCTACAAGTGGTGAAAGGGTTAAAGGGTGGCTTTTTGGGGGTGTATCGCCACAGAGAAAATAGGATCTTGCAGTATAACCAGTGAAGTATCAATAATCTAGGCCGAAAAACATTCTACTTAGTGACATACTTGCTAACTTTTCGAAATTTCCATGGGGAAGATTGTGCCTGCTCAGAGTAAAAACCACAAATAAAATGTGCGTATGTACACCCAAGGGATAAAACATGTTTAAATGGCATTGTTTGAGCTGTTCTTTCAAATGAAATCATCAAAACTCAGAAAATAGAAATAGTTTAGCAAATTCACTGGTTGAAATGCTCAATTTTAGGGTCCAAAATCGGGAGTCTCCCTCCTTAATAGGGAGAGCTGGCAAGTATGTAGAGAGTCTAGGAAAAAAATGTGCAAAGGGTATAACTGTAGTCTTGACCACTGACTTTTAAACCCCAAAATTAAAACGCAGGTAAAAAAGTATATAAGATATGCACCGGACAAACTCTTTGGTTAGACAGAGTGCAAACATATAGCCCCCCTCAAACTGGTGGGGGACTAATAAAGACAGGCCTCATCGTTCATATGACACTGTCACTGGTCTGAAGGAAATATTTCCTTATATTAGATGACAAACTTTTCCTAAATCATCGTTGGTTAATCGTTATAACATGGAGGCCGGTAGTCTGTGATATTGACTTAGTTTTACTAATTTTAGAAAGAGCACTTTATGACATTAATTCAATTGTAACGTCCCATTGCACTCTGTCAAATGCAGTTCTTTTCTTCTTTCAATTTTCATATATTCTTTTTAGTGCAATGATAAAAAAAAATATTATCTAATATAACAATTATGTATATATATATAAGGGCTTTGAGGTGAATATGTGATTTATATGAACCTGATAAAGTTGTATCACTTTCTCAGGTTCGTCTCGGTCAATATCAATTTCTCAGGTCGATAACACCACATATTCACCTCAAAAAAAGTCCACAATAGGTAATTGTAAAAGTAGTAGACATTTAAAGTATCAAACAGAAGAGAATCTGATATTGTACTTACCAAATATAGGGTGGACCCCAGGAATCACTCCATTACGATTTAATTCTTTGAAACGTTTCAATGACTCGGACGCAGGTGCTTGCCGAGATGTAACATACTTCTTCTGAGCATTTAAGCTAACCTTTTTCAGATTCTCCTATAAAGCAAAACAGTATCTTTTATGAGTTGAAAAGACAGATTTAAATGAAGTTTTAACCAAATAGTGTTATTGAACAGTCTCTAAAAAGCATTGAACTCATAATAGAATGTCTTTGAATCCTGATTTTTGTTCATAAAACAAAAAAGAATATTAATGGTTTAGTGTGACTGGTAGATTCGAGCTGATCCTGATGTTTGGAGAAATTTTAAAACTGTTTCCCATTTTATTATCCTGATGTTTGGAGAAATTTTAAAACTGATTCCCATTTTATTATTCTGTGGTTTTGGAGAAATTTTAATACTGATTCCCATTTTATTATCCTGATGTTTGGAGAAACTTTAAAACTGATTTCCATTTTATTTCCTGATGTTTGGAGAAATTTTAAAACTGATTCACTTTTTATTATCCTGATGTTTTGGAGAAATTTTAAAACTGATTCCCATTTTATTATCAGAGTAGATTTACAGTTAAAATTCGTCATATCAATACAGACCAGGTCTATAGACTCCGACATCCAGATACGTATCTTCTCGTTCATTTCGTCCGCAATTGTCTGGGGAACACAGCCATAGAGACCCTCCTCATCTAGGCAAGACATAAACATTTCTTTTGATTACTTACCACACATATCCTCAAATAACCCCATGCCTGTTAATAAGCCCACCCATATTTATTGCTGTTAAATATAAGTAGAAATGCAAACAAATACTATTTGATTTTAATTTTACTGTAATAAGCCCATCACCATATTTTTAAATCAGAGATAACTTGTATGTGTTTAACCTCTGGTCTTATTGCAGGATAAATATTTTCCATTTCGTGTCCCTCAAAGTTTACATACTCTCTTAGTATTAAAATAAATAAAAATTGTTGCAAACTCAATTTTTTTACCAATTAAGTAGATTATAGAAACACAAAAGACATGATCTCGATGTCCACCATCATAAGATCTTCACTAGTTCCATGTAAGTTTGATTTTTCTATTCTTTTCTCGTATTTTTTTATTCATAATCTTTCAACAGTGAATACATCTTGTGGTATTATTTTTTTTATTAAATCTTACCAAAGCTGGACTAAAAAAGTGTCCTTTTCAATGTTTGGTCATGTACATAATGAGAAATAGCAATAACTGTCTTGGGGTACATTCGCGTTACCGGTTGAAACGGTTGAACCGGTTGAACCTGTAAAGAAAACGACAGGTACAGATCTGGACCGAGGCTGACCTCAGGAAAATTTGGCACGTTTAGATTGAGGGGTCCAGACGTGCCTGACCGAAACTAAAATGCTGACTATTGCCAATTTGCGTTATTTCTTTCTAAAACAATGTCAAGTCACATGTAGTTTTTAAGTTACGTTATGTAATTCAGTGGACGGATGAAAGAAGGTCATAATATTCTTGAAACACTGTTTTTTATTCTCTGAAACTGTGGATTTTTAGCTCTGCTTATAGAACGGTCCAAGTGTGTTCGTTTATCGTGGAAAATTTCTGCGCCACATGTACCGTTTCAACCGGGATACGCGAATGTAGCCTAAAATTTTCAAAATCCAAGAAGGCTGCCTGGAAGCCATCTTGTTAAGCCAAGCAGTCTCAAAATGAAACCTGTACAATTAAGGATTTTTCAGGGACTTCTTAAGAAACAGTGATAGCAATCTTGAACCATCCAAATCCCAATGGCTGCCAGCTGGTGGCCATCTTCTATTACTGCTCACTTTCATAATGAAGCATGCATAACTATACTCTACTCCAACAGTGTTAGAGGTTTACACGGCGAGATACTTCAGACAGGAGCCGTGTAACCGTTGGCAAAATCATATCCCATAGAATAAAGGCCGACCAGCGGAGTTATAGGAGTAGCATAACTATGGACAAAGCGAAACCTACATATCAAATTTGGGAATGATCTGTTTAGTACTTGAGAAATAAAGATAACAAACTTGAGCTGTCAAAATCCAATCATGTTTTTATAACTAGTCTCAAACTTAAGGGGAACCTCCAAATGAGATTCGGGAAAAGTCAGTAAGTGATAGTGTTAACATTCCTGAACTCTCAAAATCAAATATGGCTGCCTGATGGCCATCCTGTTTTTCTGATCAGTCTCAAAAATGACACATGCACAAGGACGGACTAAGGGGATCATACATCAGATGCTAGTGAGCTAAAATATCAACATTTTTAACTAATATCATATTACAATGCATTATTTGTTCACTCAATTATTTACCAATATTAAACACTTAACTGTCGACTGCTAAACTAGTGATAACTACGGTGCTGTTGACCTCTGACCTTTGCCTGTCCGTGGGGTCACCATCTTGAGTTGCCTGCCAAGAAACACATGAAGGTCGATGAGATAGGGCACTTCATCCTGGGCCACCAGGGAAAAGGCTGTCCCACTCCGGCCAGCTCTTGCCACACGACCTTAATTAACAGATGGAGAAACAGAATTGGAATCATTTTAAGGATCCCTGTTCCACTGTAGGCAAACCACTAGAGATCTCAACGTATTTTTTTCGAATATAAAGTAACCTCCCTTTAATTTCATTTTGGATATAACTGCAGGTTAATTGGACCTGGTCACTTCTGTTTGCCAAGTGGTTCAGTTAGCCAGAGCAACAATATAGCAAACAGAGGAGAACTGAATTTTTACACTCGGAACACTATTGTTGATGATATGTTGTTTATCTATTTTTTTCATTTTTTTTCTTAAAAAAAGTCTCATAAGCTATTACTTTTGAGGGCGGCGCCCAAGTTAAACATGATTAATCAAAGAGAATGGTGTTTCCCTACCACAAGGGTAATAAGCCTTTTATTATACCGAAATTAAACAACAGATACTTCAAAGACAATCAGGTAGATATGCCATTATTTTCATCTGTTTCAGTCACTCGGAACTAGTGAGGCTCTGAAGAAGGGAAATATGATTGGAGAAACTCCATCCTCGATATCCAGGTGTTACGCTCACTTTCGCTCTCTTCACCCCTGGAATATGTCATAGGAAAACTGAAGGCTCAGTGTGTGCCATCTTGTGTTGATGAGACAAGAAGACTAGTTTGATCATTTGATATACATCAAAAGAATCTCGCGGTCACGTAATGGTAAAACTTACAGGCTTTGAAGTCGGGCGTCTCTCTTTTGTAATCTTCAAAGGACAGGTATCAGCCTAGCAATTGGTCATTTTTTTTTACCCAAGACCAATCAAACAGCTATCTTCATGCCTTTAATTTTGCTATCAAAAAACACCCCTGAATATCGAGGATAGGGAAACTCAAGCGCATTAGGGCAACACAATGTTTTATTTCCCCATCATGTAATCAACATAATCGAATCAGACTCTCTGTTATATAGATAAAGTACAATAATCATCACTGGGCACTATTCTTACCAACTCTGTGCACAAATAATTTGGACTTGGCCGGGAAATTGTAGTTGATGACATTGTCGAGGAGTGGGATATCTATTCCTCGTGCAGCCAGATCCGTTACCAGCAGGACCTTAACTTTTTTCAGCTGGAACTTGGCGATGTTGATTTTACGAGCTGTCTGGTCTAGCGAGCTGTAGATGTAAGAGCAGTCGATGCCTGCCTTCTCTAGCAGCTGGAAATGAATGGAAATTATGTGTTACAGTATAGCAGTTTTCGTAAAACACTGTTTTGTTTGAGTACTTGCCACTGAAAAGTAGCAGTACATATACTAATAAAATAGTCAACTCTGTATAGAAACTGGAAAATGTCTGTAAGACATAAATGTCCCCACTCATGGATTGGACGGGGCGGGATGGGACGGACATGGGCAACACTATATGCACATATGTACATATAATGTACAAATTAATTTCCACTGCAAGTTTCGTTATAAGCATTACAAGATAAAACTGCATTCATAGAGCTATGAATGCAACTTGATCAGAGTCATTTTGAAGCTTCTCCTCCCACCTTGAATAGCACGACACAGAGACAACCTTTAGAAGCAAACATTTTGGTGATGTTCCATGAATCTCCTTTGCACTGATGACACTGACATTTTAATATTGAAAATATAAGGGAATAAACATATCTATATTTAGGTCAATAATAACCAAAAAGTGAGAATGTAAACACACTGTATAGGGATTAAACAGCAGTTTTTCAATGTTCATGCTGGTATAAATGCAAAGAGGTTACATACCTTGGTACATATTCTATGAAGCCCACTAATATGTAACCAATTTGGGTTTCTTCCACCATGAAATCGTTAAATCCTTAAAGCTCTTTAATATCAAGTAGCAGTATTATAGTGAAAGAAAAATAACAACTTTTTCATGTAAACAGACAATATACCCGAGTGTTAATGAATAGCTAGTATCAATACAGTCAGACCTGTATTACCAGACCACCCACCAGAACTTCAAAAAGTTGGTCTCCTTATGCAAGTGGACTTCTAATACTTGGTTTGGTTTGTTTGTGTTTTACGTCCTATTAACAGCTATGGTCATTTAAGGACGTGCCAGGTTTTGGTGGTGGAGGAAAGCCGGAGTTCCCGGAGAAAAACCATCAACCTACGGCCAGTACCTGGCGACTGCCCCACGTAGGCCTCGAACCTGCGACCTCAAATTCCCCTATTGGGCCCTGCCCCTCAGTACCCAAAGGGACTACATCCACCGTATAGTACAATACGCAACACATGAAAAAAATTGCAAAAAAAGGCCTAAAAATGCAATTCTGAGGGTAAAACCATAATAATGTAGTTAAGGAAACCAGAGGTGGCCTCTGTTAGAACTTCCCGTCTGTACAGGTCTGTGAATAAGATCTAGTGACCAGTGAACAGTGATGAAGGAGAATAGAGAATCAACTGTATGCTATTTATGTGAATCACTTACCAAATTAACATATTCCACATGATGTTTAGTTGCAACAAATATTACACTCTGTGTGTCCTCTTCTATCACATTCTTCAGTATATGTAATAATATGGCCTGTTTCTCTTCTTCACGGCAGTGGAAAAACGACATCTGAAGGAAAATGAAAGATGAGGCATATTTGATCGCTATTTGTATATCAAATTGGTACTATATTGTACTGCATACTGAGAAACTTTCGTCCCATTAAACTTTTGCACTATCAAATTTTCACCCTACATCGACAAAATCTATATGCATCCATGAGCGTAAATTAAGGCCCTTCACATATGACAACTATGTTTTTTGGTTTTTTTATGAACGTTCCCTCTAATAACAAATTTGCCTCCATTACATATAGTGATGGAGGCAAAAGCCAAATTATAGCAAATATTTCTGGTAAACAGCACTGACTATCTCCACACCATCATTCATGTTTGTTGGATACATGTGGTCATCAAAAGCAAATACATTATAAACATTATTTTCCCAATAAAATCAAATTCTTCTTAACTCATTCACCCCTGAAATCTCATAATGAACTATTCCAACCTTTGAATCGGGAGGGTTCAAATGTGTCTTGAGGGGTGAATGAGTTTTGAGTCTAACATGAATCTGACCTTCAGCTGGTTGCTAAGCTTGGTTTCCACGTCGAGTCGTAGGAGAGTTGGGTCGTGGAGGCCCGCCTTGGCAAACTCTACCAGCAGCTTGGGAAGGGTGGCAGAGAAAAGTAGAGTTTGGCGCGACTCGGGCAGACGGTGAATAATCTCAAGGAGTTGCTCCTGGAATCCCATCTCAAACAATCTGGGAACATATTTTGTAATGAAGATAAAACACGTCAAAAAATAACGAAATATTTTGGCGAACCATGAAACAGGAATTGATGAGATGCTTCCAGAATGCTTTGGATATATCAACAGAGTCTATCATATGTACAAGTAGGTAGGTAGGTAGGTAGGATAGGGAAATTCTACAGGAAGAAGATGGGGTATAATTTGGGTCAGAACCGAGGCTTCACAGAGGTATATCAAAAGTATACTTCACAAAAGACCCAATGGACCTGTATCGCTGATCTGGTAGTTAATCTCAAATGAGTTAACTTAAAAATTGACCAAGGTCGAATACATATTAATGGGATCAATTAATCTACAGGCCAAACATCACCATCCTGGATGTTCTGGTTAATTAAGAATTTTTTTTTTTTTTTTTTTAAACATTTGACTCCTTTTGTGGCGGTGGGCTAAAAGTTAAAAGGGTTGGAAAAAGCTTTACAGCAAATTTGTTTAATAATTGTTTATTTCCGTGGGGTAATTTCAGATGCTTACATCAGTTGATATGATTCTGAACAATTTGTTGCAAACTTCTGATTTATGCACTCCCTAGTGAAGATTTATTCAAACATAGCTCCCAAACATAGGTTAACAGGTGCTCCTATAAGGGATAGAGTTGTTCCTTAAGAGGCTTCTCCTCACTGCAGCATTGAATTTAATTGCTATCCATAATTTAGAAAATTATTCCCCCATATATTCATGTATTCAACAGCCCTAATGAATTGACTGGAGATATTTATACAATTCACCCTCAAAAATGTAGGTAGTGAATTTACCTGTCAGCCTCATCAAACACGACATACTCCACGTTCATCAGCCGTAGGTTCATTTCGACTAAAACATGTAACAGTCGTCCAGGTGTGGCGATGATTCTTAAAACAATGCAACAAATAAACAATAAACACCACCAACAAAAACACTACCTAGTGATAACTGATTAAACCATGTTTTATCACCCGCGTAGTGATATTCTATTTACTAATAAGATTCATGTACAAATATTCTTTTTTCCCAATAACATTTACAAATATTTTGTTTAACAATATGATACCACAAAATTAACAATACTCATATTATATTTTTTTGCTGTGAACAGGAAAACAAAAACTCATGACCATTTCAATGAGTTAAACAGTTTTCTGAACTCCTTTTCAATTCTTAAATTTGGTTCCTTTCATGGTCTGTTAAGACATTAAGTGAGTATTACACCCTATTTGTACTTACATGTCAGGGTTTTCATGGAGTGAAGAAAACTGGTCATCCATTCTGAATAGAAATGACACAAGTGAAAATATTCAAAAAGTCTAACAAAAGAAATGAAGTTTGTATGATAGTCAAGTGGGAATTATCAAATACTTTATTACATTTTTTGAAATTCAAAAAAGCATGTGCTATTGCATGTGCTATTATACATTTTTGAGTATTCACGTAATGAACTATATAAATCAAATTATCATTGTTAAATTTACAAAGTTTAGACAAGATTTGAACACAAAAATGTATTATTTAAATGTTATTATATTAATAATTACGCTATTACCAAACAACGCTGATAATCTGCAAAACTTACTTATCACCTCCCAGGATGACGGCTGCCTTCAGACCCGTAAACTTGCCAAGCTAAAATGAAAATACAGTAAGATCTGCTTTAGTGACCAATCTACATAAACTTGAAGTGCTACTTATCATTAATATCTGAAAAAGGTAAGACCACACATGGACTAGTGATATTCAGAAGAATAGGGCCACGTATTCAGTCAACTGTTTTAACCAGATGAACTTGACAGAAAATGGCAGGCACATATCTGACCCGTGGCTGACGTCTAGAAAATTTGGCATATTGAGGGGTCTAGGCGTGCACATGCTTGACCAAAACTTCAAATGTCTTTGATTTGCATAAAATGTCTTTGATTTGCATTAATTTTCATAAAACAATGTCGACCAGCTTGTTGCGAAATATTTCTATGCTACTTCAGCCATTTAAACTAGGATACGCAAAAGTAACCTAGTCTGATTCATTTCTGAATCTACATTGAAATAATTGTTTAAGGGTTCATCAACAATGTTGTTAGTCTTGAGTTACCGATTATCTGCAAAATATCCCCTGTTTATGTTTTACCTCCTTAGTGAATGTGAGGGTCTGTAATGCCAGCTCCCTAGTAGGGGACATGATGAGCGCCCTTGCTCCGGCTTTTGCTGTGTGCATCTTAAGCTTTTCAAACATCGGCAGAAGGAAGGCTGCTGTTTTTCCACTGCCAGTCCTCGCCATGGCAACAACGTCTTTTCCCTCGAGGATCAGAGGAATTGTCTGTAATTACAGGAAATACTTATATACTGATTCAGTGGAATGGTTTGTAATTACAGGAAATACTTATATACTGTCTAGATGTTTTCATTTTGTGGGTGTAAAATTTCTCAATTTTCTTTCTGTAATTTATTTGCTGGGGTTTAATTTTGCTAATCACAATTTCTGTTAGTGTATTTCCTAGCTTATAGTTCTGAATGCTAAAATAAGCAATGACTTAGTCGACAACAATACTGGATATTTAGGGTGCAAACCTTCTAGCGCATACCAGATAGGTGAGTTGTTCTCAATTAAGTTCAATTGTAAGTTGTTGAGTTTTCTATAAATAGAGAGCCTTGTGAACTTTAAGATATTTATTAGTTTGTTCTGAGTGGGGGGGAGGTGTCGGGGAGGGGGGGGTATTGGATCAGGAGGTGCATCCTACCTTCCTCTGTATGGGGGTTGGTATCTTGTAGCCTTTCCGAATTATTCCTGTATACACCTGGTGACAGAAACCTGAAACAAATCAAAATTGTCCTTCAAATGACAAATACAGCATAACCCCTTATGTTTCACAACATTCTGTATATTACACATACATCTAAGTATAATACATAGCCCTTTATATTTAACATAACCCTAGCTTTATATCTGACATAACCCTGTATACTTAAAATAACCCTGTATATTTAGTCTTACAACTAACAAAAAAACCTTAAAGCTACTAATTCCTCCTGGAATTTAAATGTTGACAAGAACATAAATAAGGTTTGATTTGCATACGAAAACAATTGATACATTTATGACCATCTTCACAACATGCATTAATGAAACCATGCATTCAGGCCTATTCAATTGTCTGAAACTAAAGAAAGGGTTTTTATTGACAATTGATAATAATTAACCATGTGCATCATCAGGTGTATAAGCCAACCTGACTGGTAGTTATAATCAAAATACGTTTTTGATTTCCCAAAAAACACATATCTTGTCTATGAGATTCTTTTCAAAATGTTGCATGCATATGTTGCACTTTGATTTTCAAAGGAATGCCAAGATATACATGTAATGTGTTTTCAAATTTTATAATCTAATTGCTTTCCTCAGGCCAATTGTTTTGCTACCTTTTTCAACGGGCCGGCCTGTGAATATTGATTTGGTAAAATACCACAAACAAAAGCATGATTATGGGAAAATAAAGCGATTTTTGCTTTAATTTTGGGGGGAAAACTGCAGAAAGTATCCAGAGGAAGGAGGCCATCTAACACACAATAATTAATTCAGGTACAATATCTGACAGAAGGTTAATCACCACTATTTATTATAGTTTACATGTTTCAGCACACTAAGTATGCTATCTTCAGAACAGTATAACAATCCAAAATAGTGACCTAAAGTCAATAATTAACTCATTCACCCCTGAAGTTTCATAATGAACTATTCCAACCTTTGAATTGGAAGAGTTCAAATGTGTCTTCAGGGATGAATGTGTTAATTAATACATGTATTACCCATTGATTGGAAGCCTCCAGATTTCTTCTTTTTCCTGTTTTGCTGTGTGACCAGTTTTCTTGTTTCCTTTATCTCTTCGTCACTGTCGGTATCTGTTGAATCCACATCTTCTTGTGGCTGGAAAAATGTTAATATTAACATAACAATGATACATGTATTTAGATACTGACTTAATTCTGTAGTTTTATAAACATTCACACACGTCACTTTCAAATTATTACGAGTATTAAGAAATTAATGTGGATGCCTATAAAAGGAGTTTAGAACATTATCAGTACTCAAACTCTCTATATATTAAGGGAATTGGTCAATCAACTAAATACGAAACAAACTAGGACAAACAATTTTCCCCCAAATCATTATTATTTACAACCCAGGTGTGGGTATCGCCTAGCCAAGAATACACTAAAATGCTTGAAACAAGGGTTGGTCATGGCAACACTGTAACAGGAGAGGAGAAAATGCACCGTCAGACTGGGATTTGAACCTGGAACCATTCGAACTCTAGATAGATGCTTTCCAAATTGAGCTTCCTGTTCTGCTATATATACAGTGGTGTTTTTTTTGTTATTGGTATTAAGCTTTAGGGAAAAACAGAGGTTGAAAACGGAATAAGTTAGTTGTTTTGTTGTTTGTATATCGTTTTGTCTTACTTTATGTTGTATTTGTATGAGAAGCTTGTTTTTAATTTTTCAAGTGTTCTGCATTGCTCAATAATATTTAGAAGGAGCTTCCACTGTATAACTGTGTATGGAGAGAATAAATGAGTGTTTAATGATAACTTAGTGATCATGGATGAAAAAAAGATAACCTCCCCTTCGACCCAAAAACACACAGAAAACGACCTCAAAACCCATTACATGTAACACATAAACGTTAACTCTAAACTAATGATTTAATTATGAATTTCCAGTAGCCTTGTCTGAAAAAAAGGCAGTTATGCCACCAGTAATAATTAAAGTAAATCATAAATGGGAATACAAGAAACGTTTTCTTTGTTGTGCACATCATTAAATGGATGCACAATTATAAATGTAACAGGAGAAAGAGAAATGAAACGGCCAGACCGGGATTAGAACCAGGACCCTGCAATCTCTAGAGGGACACTCTACCAATTGAGCTATCTGGTTGCCGACGATCAACCCCACTAGTTTCGCTTCATTCCTTCCTCCTTGTTTTAGTCTTTGACCCTGAAGACAACACTTTTTACAGATGAACAGCATTCACCAAGTATTGAAACAAGGGTTGACTTGTAACAGGAGAAAGAGAATTGCAATGGCCAGACTGGGGTTCGAACCTGGGAACCTCCAACTCAAGACGTATGCTCTACAAATTGAGCTTCCTGTTCTGCTACATATAAACAGTGGATTTTTTCTGTTATTTGCATTTTCAAAATTGGATAACGTTGAAAGAAAAAAAACTTTTTTGTTCATATTGTTTAGAAGAACTTTGTGTGTTTTCATTTCACATTATTCCCCATTTCAGTTATAAAATTGCTACTGAAACTGGTAACTGTTACACAAATGCAGGATTATTATACCCATATGCACGGTTGTCCCCAACCTGATCATGTGCTGGGTCAGGTCATGGAAGCGAAAATTATGGCTTTATCGGATTATTGTAGAACGGCAGTACACTGTAAAAAATGACTAGACAACATCGAATAAACACCTGAATTCCCTAATTTGCTTACAATGGTATCGTCCAACATGTTCCTATTAATAAATTATATGTTTAACCACGCAGTCCTGATCATGGAAGTATGTATTCAAGCTCTTGCGAGACATTGATGCATGTCAATTCATGAGCAACACCTAGTTTGTAACCACTAATAGTAGTCATCGTAGTCAGAGAACATAGACAAGTTTCTGATTTAAAAGATCTTGGAAAAAAAAGAAAAAAAAACGGTGTCAGAGAATTCCTCGTTTTCATATAGCAGTGCGCTCTGGCCCCACACCAGATATCTATCAGTCAAAATATGTAAGTCTGGTGTCAGGGCAAGAGGAAACTTGGGCTACTTTAGCTGTGATAATGTAGCTTTCTGACGAAAAAAGATTTTTTTATATATTGCGTTGTCAGAGCTACAAAGCGGTCCTCTGCCAACTAATGTCCAGCAACATCAAAAGGGGTAATCTGTAAGATTACATATAATTCACGCCTCATAGGAGTATAATGTTATCAAAATATTGCATAATTGATGAAAAAATGAATCTTTATACCAACGAAAAAAACTCTTTCACAAAATTATCCAAGCCTGTTATGGAGGAAAAAATAGATACGACCGCCATGACAGATCACATGTGATGTTATCTCAATTTTTCTTTCTATATATGGATTTCATGGCCAAATATAGAATTATAACTGATGCCGCCTTGTTAACTTTAACTTCCCAACATGGCAGTCAATTTTAATTTTGATTTTGATTGCGCTTGCTACGTAATTAACTCGATAATTCAACAACATTTTAGGCAGAGTTTAACTTCCAGTTATACAGGATATCAACAGAAACAAAAACCCTATTTATGGATGACGGCCAATGTACTGTCAATTTATTAATTCTAAAATCGACCCGGTGTGATTCACATGGGGCTTGATTCATTACATGGTATGGATCGATTTAATACCCGGCCGTGGCAGAGGAGGCCGGGTATTAACATTACTTATTAGTAAGTATACTAGGGCTATCTGTGAATTTGGTGTTTCAGGTCTTTGTACTTATATTTTTTAAAGGTATGTCCCCAGGTTTTTTTGATTTTTGTACAATCTGTCACTTCGTACACGTTTCTTAATATCTGGAGTTACCCAATATAGACATATTTACCTGATACTTTGTTAGCAAGGCAGACACCTCTTCAAAATCAGAGCCGTCGTCTGACTCTTCCTTTTTGCCTTTTCCTTTCCATGTCACCTTCTTCTTCTTTTTATGTTTATCTTCCTGATCGTCTGCATTTCCTTTCTGAAATCGAGGTTTAGAAGGAACATGTTTCTTACTGTGGTTTGCAGGACCAGTTCTTTTGTTTTTAGTAGTTTGTGTACCACCTTTCTTCTTTCCAGAATCTAAGATAGGTTTTCGCTGTTTTAATCTATGATGTCTCGCCATTTCAAGTGTCACAAACAAGCATACACTATGTGAATATGTTCCTGTCAAAATCTGTTATCACATCTGTTTTCCCGTAAAGTATCTCGTGTAGCTTACATGGGCGCAGCCATCTTCTTTTTGAAATCTCGTTCAACTCTCGTTGCAAAAATTAGGGAAAAAATAAAATATTTATAATTAACTATATTTAGCTTATGCTTTTTTATGTACGCTCTCTTAAATTGTAAGCATTTATTAAATTGTGAGATAAAGTTTTTTCGGATGCTCTTAGATATTATGATCAATTTTAAGCAAGAAGTCCAATGTATTCCGATAGTTATTGACTTCCGGTTGAAAATGGCTGAAATCAGAGTTGTCTGAAAACCGTCATGTTGAATATTCAAGCATTTTTGTGATATTCACATTGTATGGGTGTCACAAACAGCAGATAACAAGTAATACTTTTTCGGGGAATATATTTTATTGTTGTCCTCACACATATGTACATGAAACCATAGTTTTTGCACACAAAGACTGATTATCAGCTGGTTTAATTTGTGACGCATTTTTAATAGAACGATGATTATAACCGTTCTAGATCGGTCTGCTTACTCTTCGATCGTCTCTTGGTGCATTGGTTCGCTCTACCTCTTTCAAAGCAGGACCTCCTATCAAGCCCCCCTCCCAACACAGTGTACTCCTTAAGCTTCCAGAGTCAGAAATAACCAGCTCCTCTGTTTAAAAGTTCTGAGAGTGGAGATGGTCATTTACATTGTATACACCGTAGTTACCAATAATGGCACGAAATCAAATCCCTTTACGCTTTCTGCGCACGCTACTTTATCATCCAGTTGGTTCCACTCAAGTGACGTTTTGATGAAGAAGGAGTTCTTGTATGCTTTACACAGGTTTGGCACAACGGCGCATATGGGTAATACTCCTGCATTTGGGTAACAGTTACCCATTTGAGTAACAATTTTATTAATGAAATGGGGAATAAAGTGAAATAAAAACACACAAAGTTCTTTAACACATTATAAACAAAAAAGGGCGTCATTCTTTCAACATAATCAAATTAAAAGTACAATAAGGTACAATTGTGCATGAAAATATCTTTATTCAGTTGTCTAAATTTTTGTCAACATGACAAATTTTATCACCTCCATTGCTTATAGTGTGTTGTAGAGTACGGTAAACCTCCGGTCAGTTCGAATCGGCGGAAAGTTTGAACACATATTTTTTCAATAAAAACAATCATTTTCTACCTAATGATAGTTCAAACTCTGATTGACCCTATTTTGATAGTCCGAACTTGTCAAATAAAGAACGTAAAGTAAGAATTTTTTTTGGCAAACTCCATTGAAAGCTTGTGGCGATCGGCCCCGGAAAAATGTCAATACTTTAATCAACAGACACATTAAGGGTAATGGGCTGTATGTGTGAGCATTGCAGTACAGCTGTGACAGACAAACCATAAATATATGTCACAGATTTTAGCGTTGATTCATTTTTTACATTGTTTGAAAAATACATTGTGCACGAGACAGCCAATTGCAACTTAGGCCCCGACAATTTATAAATAACATGCGATCAGTACGAACTGATGTCACGCTGTATGGCAAACTAAGAAATCGCCCGTGTATTGTCAAATACAGTGTTAACTAAGCATTTTGATTATTTAATTGTGACCAGACATCCCTTAATTATTGCCAATCAAGGTATTACCTGTAAACGTGTGCCCTCACACCAGGTAGGGCAGGACACGATGTCACGGTAGGGATCGGCCGCCCAGCCATTCTGACTGACGTGATTAGCATTCATGTCCAAGTCCAAACAACCACAGGTGTCCCAATTAGTGATGGGTAATTTTGAAGGTGTCAAATAAGTTTGGTAGGTATTAGGACTATATCACTTATAATTTAAAAGCAGACATGTTAATTTTACTAACATATAGACCTATATTTATAGTTGCGCTTTGTAAACGCAACAGGTTATGTAGACTATGTTTTCAATTTATTAAACGAACCATTCATTACGAAAAAATATATACAATAGTTTCTGATTCAAATAAAACCTAACCACGCAGAGACTCCATATTTAGGTCTCTGATACAAGTTAGTCTAACTTTTGTGTCACAAATGAAACGTGTACTGTTTTGGGGCCTACACAATAACGATCATAATTATCTCGAAATGAAAGTTTAATGATCAATTAACATTGAATTAAATAATATACTATCATTTTACCCATTTATAAATGTGCCATTGTTCTATGCCAGGCCGTCGTTGTTACGTTTCGACCTGACATTGGATATATATGTCGGGTATATGTTTGTGACTTGATTTACACTTTGCTGAAATTTTTGCCGATAGTTAAAACTCACGCTTATTTTCTGAAGCACAATTTCGTATAATCCGAACAGGTTCATCAATATTTATTTGATTTTGTTCGAACTGACCGAAGGTTTACCGTAGCTATAAATAGCACACAGAAAAAATCATGCTTACCTGTCACATTTGCACCGAATGATCCCATTGCCTACACACTGAAGTCAATGGAGAGCAAAGTCAGTGATATGGTTTGTCATTTTCACAAAAACTTGCACATCAGAATTGATAATTTTTTGTGCACAAATGTACATCATTGTTTTATTTATTGGATTTAGTTGAAAGAAAAACGTCTTCTTTTTGCTCCAAGTGTTTAAAAGTACTTTGTGTGCTTTTATTTCACTTTATTCCCCATTTCAGTAATAAAATTATTACTCAAATGGGTAACTGTTACCAAAATGCAGGATTATTACCGATATGCGCCGTTGTGCCCAACCTGATACATTTACATGTTCTAATCGCCATTGTCAATTTTTTTACCAGTGCAATATTTGAGATGAAATTTTAACTTTTCTACGTTTAAAAAGTATGTGGATATAGTTAAGTACATGAATTTTACACCAAACCTGGAGCACATATTTTTCCTATAGGGTCTCCACTTGCACCCCATCAAAAAAATAATTGAAAGAGGAGTTTGTTATCTACGATTTACTCCTCCACGACAATATCTTCCGGGATATGGGGACAGATGTTCATATAATACCCAACCAACCACCATCAGTGCTCTGATGAGCTGGTGAAAGAATTTAACACACTTACATACAGCTGTACAACTGCATATGAGCAGATACACTGTTGAAGTGACAAATTGATGTCATCATGAGCTAGAGAGTAGATTAATAGGTTGATCAAACAAATCAGATTAATGAGTATTTCTAAAACACATATTCATTCAGTGATCACCAAAAAACAAGTCCATAAGACAAGTTGAATAAAAAATAGGGACAGTAGCTTCTATATCTATAGATCCTACCATTCATCTTTTGTGCAAGTGAAAAAAACTAAAAATTATTTGTTGTTGCCACTGAAGTAAGATGTAAGTCTATCTAATTGAGGTAAATAAAAGGTTGGAAAAAGAAGAGTAATTAATATTTCAATTTAATATTATGGAAGTTTATTCAACTTTCAAAAGTTACCACACTTTTTATAGAAATTTTCATTAGCAGGACAGAATTAAAGAAACAAAATGGGAATTTTCACTCATTCTGAAGGTGAAAATGGGGAATACTGATAGTAAAAATGTTGTTGATAAATCACTGATTAATTTTGACAAAATGCAATCTAGGGGTGAAATTTCCAGGTAGTACCCCCACACCAGAGCTATTGTATTTTATAATGGGGCTTGTAAGGTTTTTAGGTCACCTGAGCTTTGCTCAAGTGACCTATTCTAATCGCTTTTCGTCCGTCGTCGTGCGTCGTGCGTAAACTATTACATTTTCAAGTTCTTCTCAAGAACCAGTCGATGGATTTTTTTCAAACTTGGTCAGAATCATCCTTGGTAGATGAGGCTTCAAAATTGTAAAATTGGGATTCCTACCCCCACCCCTGGGGCTTCAAAAATCATCTTCTTCAGACTCAGAGGTACTACACTCATTTTCTCTATGTGGAAAGAAAGATCATCAGGGGCTTTACTTAAATTGTAAATTTCAGGACCCCCGAGCTATCCGTTCTCCCTTGGGGAGGGGGTAAAGTTTACTATAGTTTATATAGGGAAATAACACTTTTGGGTATATTTTGACAACTTTCTGTAGGAAATTATTTTTACTTGGTGAGAATTATCCTTGGAGGTAGAT